AAGCTGTACAGCACTGTACGGAGTCATTTATATTTTTTATAAACCTTAATGATTTCCCAAATTCATTTCCTCTTTCAATGTTTTTTAAGTATGAAAACTAATTTATTTGCTCTAAAAACGCCATTACAACAATTGCGTAATTGAAAGTGAGGCTATGTTGCACACTTTTTGATTTAGTTATTTTCGAATATTTTGAATTCCAATCACACAAAAATGAAAATGATATTAATGTTCACTTAAATTAACATTTAAAAATATATTTACATTTATTTTGTAAATATTTTCTGGTGTTTTGTAGATTTTTTGAGCAATCAACTTGTTATCATTGTGACAAAAAAGTGAGGTTATGTTAACCATTTTATTTTTCTAATTTAATATTTTTCAATATTGAGCGATATTGAGAAAAGTAAATCTCACAAAATTACAAAGAAAAATAATTTCCATTAAAAAACGTTTTAAAATTTATTTATTGTTCCTTTTTTAAATTATTTTTTTGTACTTTTTAGACTTTTTAAATGGATTTTTGTTATTGTGAATATGCGAGCGCCATCTTTTAGGTGCAATACAAAACATTTGGAACAGATTAGTTCGATTTAATGCAATCAGGGAGGGCGTCAGTGTTTTCGGTCACAGATAGACCACGGCTATGGTTGACGTATTGGATATTTGACATATCCAAGACACCAACCTAACGTAAAGGCACTCCATTTTACGTGTGTCTATGCTGAACCCATTATTCTTTGTGTACACACACGGGACCGACGGCTTTAAGTGCCCTCCGAAGCACTCCACTAGCCCGAAACCCGGCCAAATCTATTCCGCATAAAACCACTGATAATTCCTGAGCGAATCACGGTGGAAAAATACCGGACCAAATTTGACCGAGAATCGAACTCGTGTCCTCACGCTCACAAACCTGGCACGCTAACCACTAGTCTATGGCTATAACATATAATATGACGTTTCATGCCTGTACTCGTCTGTGTTGGAACAATATTTTGACAGCGGAATGATTATTCGTTGTCGTCGGTTGTCGCACGTTGTTTTGTTTTTTTTTTAACTAGTGTGTTGTGTTTTAAATTTAATTGTGTTTATTTTTCCAAGAAATAACTAAAAATCATTGACTCAGTTCGTAATTATGCTAAATTCAGCTGTTGTTATTGATATTCAGTTCAATTTGGTAAAATTTGAAACTTAATCACAGTACGCATTTCGAATATTTTCAATGTTCTGTTTCGAGGTTATGTTTATGCATGCGATTTTTTTATTAAATAAATTCTAATAAAAATAGTATTTTGATGAAAAATATAGTGTTTCCAGTGAAAATTAGATTGAATTTCTGAAATTTAAAATAAAAACCATCAAAAATGTCAAATTTCATCAGTTTTTTGTGAGTTGGATAACTTGGAGAAGAACGATAAATTGAATTAAGACGCATGTTTTTTTTGTCTTTGTCATGAATATTCAAGTTTACAAGATTCAGAATAGTAATATTAGATGAAAAATATACTTTTATATCATATTACACTACATTTAAATTCAAACGTAAAGCGCAACAAAATGTCACAATCGAAACAGTTGTCCCAAATCGTTCGTAGGAGGAAAAAAGACAAATTATTTTCTCTTGCACCTTTCATTTGCACATACATTCATTGGACACAACCTTTGATTTAATTTGCAATGATTTCCAACACACAATTATAATTTCTGAGCATTTTCACATTTAATATAATGAAGGGTGTTTTTTTTAAAGAGGTTCCGCATTTGAAATTTGTCAAATACACATACATAGTTTTATTTTAATCATGCAAATGGTTTTATTTGGTAGAAAAAATTATGACATTTATCTTAAAAAAGAAATTTGAAAAAATCCTCTTCAGTTAATATTCATGTTGATATGTACTGCTTAAACCCTTTGTTTAGCGATATAGATCTAACGTTGCATTGATTTTATGATCATTTAATCGACCTTCAAAATGAATTTTAACCGTGATTATCGAATTCATTCCAAAAGTGTTTTCGATTGTTTCTTCGAACATTCTGGCTTCGGATTCTGAATCATTCAAACATACTAGAACATAAGTATTCAATTCTTTTAGATTTAAACTTGTTTTTTTAATAATTGATATGTATTACCTGATTTATGTTTTCCGATTTGGCAATGAAAAATACCCCGGTTATGGGTGAAGGGTCATGGGGGCTTTTCGACCCCTAGGACCTTAAATCGGGGTTAGAAGGTTCCAAAACAGAATACCCCGTGGGGGTATAAAGAGATCCAGGGGGTCAAAACCAATGATACCAATCGATAGGGAATTGAAAAGTGAATTGAGTTTGGGGGTATTGGGGGGTGTTTTTCCATTCCAAAGCCCTTAAATTAATCGGGTCAAATTTTCAGAGAAAAAAATGACAACCCCCTGATAAAGGGGGAGGGCAGGGTCAGGGTAAATAGAACGTCAAAAATTACATTAAGAGTGACCATTTTCTAAACATGCATTTCCAGTACAAAAATTTGAAATGAGCGTTGAGAAAAATAAACCGCATGAATGCATGCTATTCTTAATTCTACCGAATATTTCCCATTTAACTCCTAGAATGAATAACTGAATAGATTTTAATTTATAATAATCGTAACACAATTTGTTTTTGCAATTCTCTTACATGAACAATCATCTGTTAGGGCCAATTTTCCACATATTGGATATGTTCCACAACTGATTTGTCGAATTTGAGAATCCAAACATTCATCTTCGGCTAGTACGCATGGCTCATATGGTGAGCATTTCACATTCTCGCAAGATCCTCCATATAAGCGGATCGGTCTATAAAAAATCGAAAACAAAAATATACAATGTTAGGTAGCAACAAACGCGAGTTATATATATACAAAAATTTTAGACGTTTTGCTACACACCTCTCGTCCAATGAAATGCATTTGTTATACATATTATATAGCCAATATAAAAAACAATACAATTTGTGTAATAGACATTTTGATGAAAAAACTTGGAATATTTTGTTTAATACTATACACTAGGGAATTGAGTCGAAATTTTATTGTTTTGTTTTAAATTTTGTCTGCATTTAAGTAAATTTTTTAAAATCAAAATAATTAAATGTTACACAAAGACGCAATGGTATTCGAAAAAGGTATATCTTTTGTTCCTCCGTGCGCACGATTAACTAACACGAAGAATTTCTAGTGACCGGTTCGCGCATATTTCTATGCCTGATAGCTATGCTAAGCATAGCGGAGACGCAAGCCGCAACGCACCCGTCGCCATTTGATTCGAGCTATATTGTATGCGCACGGTCGACTGCATAAACGAACATGTGCATTGTTCATATAGAGTGAACGGCGATGCGTCGGTTGCGTTTGCGGCTATGCTTGCCATATCTATGCTACCTAGCGTATTTAGGCAAACATAGAAATATGCGCGAACCGGTCACTGAGAATTTCATGCGTGAGACCAAAATATAAAAGAAAATATTGATATGCCCCGGTATGTGAGAGTATGCATTGTTGACGTTAGATTTTTCGAAACTAGTATATTTCGTCAAAAAAAATAAAAAGCTGGTTAAAAAAACGAAACGTTAAAACTTGAAATCCTGAATGCGTTCGGAATTTTGTATTTTTCTTTATTTTCTCTCTGCTGAACATTGTTCGTTACTTTCTCTTTTCTTATCGTTGTCTACGTTGTCTAGACATAGCTATCGGCTTCGGGTGCGGTTTGTATGTATCTTTCGGTGTCGATAAATGTAAGAATTTTATAAAATGTCTTTCTAATTTTCATGAATATGTAAAAATAGAATTTTGTGCTTCTTGACGGAAATATATGTATACTTGCTGAGTGCACGCACGTAGAGAGAGAGGAGAGAGAGAGAGAGAGGAAGAGAGGATCAAAGATCATTCGCACGTAAATAATTACACGCATTGACTTGAAAAAGTTTAAATGCCGATTATTGAAAAACCGGTTTTGCAATAATCGGCATTTAGACACTACTGACGTGAGGATTCAACCACAAGCACAAGTATCGCAGCATCAAAAGTCGCAAGTTTCAATTCAAAAAGATAATTTGAATGTATCTGCCAATCGTGCAGCTGTAGCAGCTGCCACAAGACCACCAAATAGTTTTGGTGTGGTGCCAAGTTTGCGTTATATTTTACCGAAAAATGTACTCGTAAGTTTGCTAATAACATTTTAAATGAAGTTAATAATAAACTGGTAAATGAATATCATTTTCACTTTTAGACTTCCGCCAAACGGCATTTAGTCGCGTAACACAAGTCAAGGTATTCAATCGCAGGCAAAATCAGCCGAATCAGCAATCTTGTATCGTTGTTGGTCGATCGCTTCCAAATTGGGCTAGTACTGCATCCAAATCTCTGTTACATTCGAATGAGATATTTTTGCCAACATCTTCCCAGCTTGCAACGATTACAAGCATACCATCAGGTCCATCGTCAGGTGTTTCCCTTTTAACCTCTTCACATGCACAGAGTCAAAAGTCGAACCCAACTGAAACCATCATCATACCATAAGATTCATGAAAAATAACAAACAACAGAAAAAATGGGAACTATTATATTCATTTTAAACAATTTCAACCTCTTAGGCTAAACAGTTCGTGTTAACGATCAAATTAATTAACTTAGGACACATTTTTTTAAATCATCATTTTATAACTCCATAAATATTTTTTAAGGAATTTTGTTTTGGTGCCGAAATTGCAATGTTTTTTTTTCTAACAATTAGTTTAAACTCAATCATTTAGTTCAAGTGAACTAAAAAAACGGTCATATATATTTTGAATTTAATACATTATATTTGCAAGTTATTTGAATAATCAAGTTTGATAAATTGAATTGACCTGAACTATGTATATTTAGGTATAAATTTTTACAAATGGAAAGAATGAAAAAACAATTCGGAAGAATCATAATAATGATATATATGTATATATGGCAAACACGGAAGTAAAAAAAATGATATTTTAAACATTGCTTTAATAAAATTGTATAATTTGATAAATATCTCAATCGATCCAAGCCAGTCCTGCGTAACTAAAATGAAAGGGGAAATATTTGACCAATGCTAAAGTTGCCAAAAACTTGATTTGACATTTCTTTCAATTGGTGCTGAAGCAACTTCTCGATAACAAAAACCAGATTTTTATTCATTTTATCAAAGTGATGATTGATTACATTATCAACGTCCTGGCGATCTGAAAAATGTTTGGAATCATGTTTGTTCTTCATTTTTTGTTGATTTTTTTTCCTACCAAATATTCGTCTGCCATTATCAAGGTCATATAATTCAACAACGCCTTTCCCAGTCTTAATAGTAATATCAATTTTTTCCGTTTGTACCATCCATTCATTTTTTAAATTAAAATGAGCTCTTACCACTGCGGTGCTGTTATCTAATATAGAAAAAACGTATATTTTTGAAATATTTTCGACAAAATATTCTAAAATTATCTGCTCACGAAAAGATTCGACAAATGAGCAATTCTCGTTAATTACAAATTCCTCAATGCTTCCGCTGAGCTCACATCCACCTTCTATTTGAAGTTTTGGAAATAACACATCGATTCTGTACAATTTTCCATGTTTTATAACACTACAATTATCGTATCAACATTTTATTTCTTATTTAAATTTCATTGAGAGCGTTAAACTTACTGCAACTTTTCGATTTTAAATTTTAAAATTCCCAATACCACAATGTTCCATACTTTAACTTGAAGTCCATGTCGACTTTTATCGAATTTAAATAAATCACCAATTTTCAGCGGATCAAAACTCGGAACATCTACATTTGGTATGCCGTTTATCAGAACAGATTGCAGAATTTCAATGCTGGTTTTTAAGCATTCCGTTAAATTTGAATCCTTTTTTTCACAAATATGTAAGTATTCAGCTGGAAGATTTTTTTAATAAAAAAAAGTTCAAATGAAACATCTTTTTTCTTTTCTGTTGATTTAATTTTTCAATGGATACTTTTTACTTTACAAACACATTGTTTTCTTACGTATTGAAGGTTCACTCCAGTAGGACATTACTATTCCAAAGGTTAGTGTCAGTGCCAAGTAATTGGATATATGCATTTTCATGTAGTGGAATATTATTCAACTTTATTATTAATTTTTATTAATGAGAGAAATGTGCATACAAAAGAAAACTTTCAAAAAAAATTCTAAATCAATATATTGTGTATTGATGGGATGCAAAATAAAAGCAAACTGTTTTATTAAGAACGCTATGACTAACTGTTGATTCGTAATGAAATCGATTTTAATATATCTGAACATTGTTCATTGCACCAAGGAGAGCAACAAAAACTGAACCAACTATGATCATATTTATAATTATAGTTTAATGTGTGACACTTTTGCAATTTCTTTTATTACTACTAGCAAATGAAATTCATAGGGGAAATCACTCTAAAACTAATCGATAAAAATGAAGAAAAAGAAGAAAATATTTAAGATGAAAAAATAAAGAAATGTTTGTTTGCAAGATATCATTTAGGTTCGAATACCGAATATTAGGAAAATAAATAAAATACTTTGTTTTGGAGGTAAATCTGTTATTTATTTAAAATTGATTTCGGGATATATTTTTTTACAAAACGAAATGAATTCTTAAACAAATACAAAGACGAACATTAAAGAAGAACAACGAAGCATATCTCTTATCTTGTATTTCAATAACAGAAAAAAAATGTTCTTAAATATAAAATGTGACTTAAAAATGATGAATAAATTATTAAACTAAGAAATGTTCCATTGGGATGCGTTCGAATAATCGATCGATAAACGAATGCAATACAGTGGTGAATTTTGAACGAAGAGCTGGTTTCATTTCCTTTAACAACTCTTGTGCATTGGAATTTATAAATAAATTAAGAGCAGCTTCTGCAAACGAACAAAAGTGTTTGTGATGAGATAAATGAGGAAGGCTCTTTGCTCATTGCCAAAGGTACTTACGGATCACAGCATTGCCGCCAGCAACATTGTCGACGCCCATTTGAATGTTTTTAACACTGAAATCCATTTTGGCCTCTTCAACACGCAAATAAGTCATTCCGTCAATTTGGTCAATCGGAATGGCTTTGAAGTAAACCTTGGCCTTTACGCCATCTATGAGCGAAAATGTAAAATTCAATTAAATCAAAACATTTCAACATAATTTTTTCGCACACTAAAATTGAATGTTGAATGGTTTTATTTCGATTTTGTTTATTACCATATTCTCCCCAATACTCTCCAGAACCACTAGCTTTAACCAAAATTAGAACGCCAGATGAACGATATTGTGCGCGAACACGAATATGTGGAATTTCAAAAGTCAATTGAAATTGTAGCGTTTCGATGTCGGATCTAAAAAAAAGATTAGGACTATTGAATATTCTTTTCGGCAATGATTTTGTTGTCTTTGGTAAACACGGAAATCAACAAGAACAAATTGTAAGCAGAAACAACATGGGAATCGTAATTATTATTAAACTCTGTCATACAAAGACACGGAAGTTTGCGAAAACAAACAATTTAAATTCAAATCACTTACTTTGAGTACGAAATTAAAGTGGCGACCAGTCAACTTGAATGATAGCAGTATGTCGACACGTGCATCGAATGACCAAAACCGTCTTTTAATACAAACATATCAGAATCATTATTATAATTAAAGCGTTTCAAGAGTTCTTAAACACGAAGCAATGAACTTTACATCAATAACAATAACAACGACAGTTGCTTCTCAATGAATAAAAATCATTAGCAGAGAACAACCGCTATGTGGCCAGAAAACTGGTTCATAAAATGGCATTTCTGTGATTGGTCAGATCAACTGATTACAATGCATTTGTCGTCATATTTCCATAATCAAGCACCAAAGATTAACGAAAAATTTATTCAATCGTTTGATCCAAGTCAAGTTTTTTAAAAATTCCAAGAAACGAATTATGGAGGCTCATCTGCATGTTTTTATGTAATTTGGTTTTAAGTGAATTAACTGCACCACTGACCCATATTTGTGGTGCTTGATTCTTTATCGTATTCAATTTTTTTCAGGAACAAAAAAAATCGATTTGAAAATCCAGTTATCAAGTATATTATATATTTTAGTAACAGCCGACTAAATTTTCATAACAGGTTGAAGCCTGCGTTCAATGCGTTCAGTGAACGCTTAGAGAAAGCATTTGAAAGCGATCTACACAATTATACGTAGGTTGCTCCATAATTTTTTTTAAAATGGTACTTATAGT